CCCCCTGTCTGTACAATGACTGTCACTTCCATACTAAACATAAACAGATGGGGTAGGAGTCACCCTTGAAGTGACAAACAACATTACATGTAAGCCTTAACCTGTTTGTAAAGATGGTCTTCGCCAGTCGAGGAGAGACAATTTCGGGAGGAAACTTCCATGGTGAATACCCAGCCAAAGTAAGTTTTCTGACCGTGCTCCCGACCCCGGAAGTAGATTCCGAAGCCGGCCAGCTGAACTGAACTGTTCTTTTAGGCCCTGGACTATTTGGCCATTGGCGTCCATGAACTCGCGGCAATCAGTGAGAGACGAATCGAAAGGCTGTGTAACCCTTCGCTCAGCGAGCTGCCTGCCTTCCTGGTGGCTGAAGGAGGCCTGAACTCTGGCTTCATGATAGCCCACTGCACCGCAGCAGCCCTGGGTAAGGACAGCGCCCTTTGTCAGAACACAAGCCCCGCCCCCGAGGGCCTTTCCAGATTCCCTCACAGTATCAACCTCCGCCTTGGAATGAGCTCTGCTGTTGCTTTGCTTTCCTGTGCATCCTACCGCGCATGCCTAGCACAGCAAACAGGTTGAATCTTCACACTGTCTTAGAAAACATAAGACCTAAACGATGTAATGCTGCAAGATACTAACGCAACCGTGAGGCATAAGTGGAAAATGGCCCCAGAGAAAACAATCCTGTTGCTACATTTGAACTTCGTCTGTGTAGCTTTCCCCCAAAAAACAATCAGAGGGAAAAAAAAGACAAAGACAGTTTTGGTTGATAGTAAAAAGCTGAACTAAATTGAATGCTTAAACTTTGGAGATCTTCTACTAGATACACTGTCCACTAAAAGGTTAAGATGCGCTCTAATATATAAAAATACTTCCAGCCGGGCATTGGTGGCACACGCCTTTAATCCCAGCACTCGGGAGGCAGAGGCAGATGGAACTCTGTGAGTTTGAGGCTGGCGTGGTCTACAAGAGCTTGTTCCAGGACAGCTAGGGCTGTTACACAGAGAAACCCTGTCCCTAAAACCATACAAATAAATAAATAAACACTTCCAAAAAGCAATATGCCTCCTGGAAACTGAGCTTCAGGGCAGCTGGTTTCCTATTCGAAACTGCAAGGAGCAGATAATTAATGCATCGGAAGGATGCCCGCCACAAAGTCAGTGCCAGTGGCCTTGCTTATTTCCCCTCCCTTAACCATAGCAACAGGATCAGGAAGGAGGAGACACTGTTACTATCGCCATTGGCCAGGCAAATAATCGGAGACCCCAGAAGCTAAGTGACTTTTCCAATATTGCCTAGTAATTGGATGCAGAGCAGAACTCAAATGCAGCTGTATTTGGTACCCAACTTCATGCACCCCCTTCTGTGAGCTCCTTTTTATCACCACCACAACCACCATCACCATCACCACCACCACCACCATCACCACCACCACCACCACCACCACCATCA